CTCATAGCCGCAGCCCCCGGACCGGGAGGATATGAGCGAGCCATGAGGCTGCTGAGGCGTTGGGCGTTCGCGGCTCTGCCGCTGCTACTGCCGCTGCTGCCCCCACCCGGTGAGTGACCCCCACCCGGCCCGGCCCCTGCCCCGGGGCCCCCTCCTGCCCCCGCCCGGGTTTTGCGGCGGTTTCTGCTGCAGCCACATTTTCCTGCAGTGCTCGGGGTGACAGCCGGTCCAGAGCGCGGGAGGGTAGGGGAGCGGGGGAGGTGGGAAGGTGCGTCCACCCACCTGTCCCCTTCTGGCCGGCCCCACCACGTCCATCCCCCTGCAGCCTGCCAGCGGACTCTGCAGGTCTCTGCGGGTTTGGGGGGGGCAGTCGTGACAGTCGGGCAGGAGTGAAGCTCTGGCCCCCTCCCCGTAGGGTGGTTCCCTCTTCAGGGCAGCCAGATCTTCCCACCCAGATCGCCCCAGGGCTTCGGGGCCACACCAGAGTGAGGACTAGGCGTGCCCACCCTTTTCCAAGTCTCCTGCCTCATGGTGGGCATCTGCCTGCAGCTATGGCCTTGTCTCCCTAGGTCTTGGGGCCCAGGGTCCTGCTGGAGCTCTGCAATGGAGGGGCTCACCCCAGGTGGGGGGTCCAGAAGCCCCCGAGGTCACAGAACCCAGCCGACTGATAAGGGAGAGCTCCGGGGGAGAGGTCCGGAAGCAGCAGCTGGACACCAGGGTCCGCCAGGAGCCACCAGGGGGCCTGGTGAGTGGGACTGGGTGGTAAGGCCACGAGGTTAAAGCAGGTCTCAGAGCCCAAGGGAGAACCCGGAGTAGGCAGGGTTTGGGCACCCCCTCACCAGCTGGCATCCATGGTGAAGCAGCTTTCCCTTCTGTACAATGGGCTTCAGGTGGGTGCTGACACCCGCTATCGGGGAGCACTGGGCCTGCCTAGCTCTCGAGCCCCCTCCCATCATCATGGGATCACCTGTTACAGGGTTCAGGGACCCTATAATGCCCAGGTCTGTGCATTGAGTTAGCCTTCCACCAATGCCCACTCCCCTCTGGCCAAAGCTTAGTGTTTCTGCTCAAAATGGGACAGTGGGGGACAGGGAGAATCAGCTGAGAGCCCAGTCTGGAACCATGGTTCCCAAGTTCTCACTGCAGCTCCCCTAGGCAGGCTTTGCTGGAACAGCTTAGTGCTTGCTCCTGCCTCAGTTTCCCACAGTGCACAGACAGGCTTGTTCTACTTCATGTCCTAGCAGAAGGTGGGGCCTTGGAAAACAGTTTGAGGGCCCAAGCTCACCCACAAATGTCAGCTCTACCTGCCCACTGGCTCTTTCATGCTGCCAGGTCCCTCCTGCCTCCCAGAGGAAGGTTAGGAATGAAGGAGATTAATTGCAATTAATAATTAATTAATATCATGTGAATAATAATCACCCAGATGGAATAGTCATTCAGCATGCCTGGCCTCTCCAGGAGCTTAAATCTGAAAGTTAGCCAGGGCAACAGGGCAGCAAAGGGCTGCATGGCGAAGGCTTGGCAGAATTGGAAGGTATAGAGGAGAGACTCAGAGGAGGGGTACAACTGAGGCCTGGGAAGTTTTGGCAGCTGGGAGTGGTGGGAGGTAGATTGGGCTGGGCAGAGGGAGGAAGGAGGGAACCGGAGGCTGCCATTATGGACATCTGTCAGACTGGCATCTGGCCCTGCCTAATGTACTTGGTTAAAAGCCCTTAAGGGGGGTGGTGGAGGGGGATGTGGGGTAGTGCAGGGGTGGGGAATACTCGTGAAATGGAAAGGAGCAGGAAGGCAGCATGCATAATAGATGGACCATCACTCAGGGCAGGGCCGAGCAAGCGGGAAGGGGGGTGCTGATGGTCCTGGGTTGGCGGGTAGTAGAGGGGTGGGGGGTAGGGAGGAGACTGGCTTGAGTATCTGCCCAGGCTCCCTGGGAGAGATTGGGTGGATAGTGGAGATGGTCCCAGGGGCCAGGGATGGGGTACCCCAGGTGCTTAGTCTGGCTTTCTTCCCTGATGTTACTCCCCACCTGCAAACTACACCCCATGGCTGCCATGGGCAGGAGTTTATGACCTGTCTGTCTGCTGGGCCTCTGGCTTGTGCTTTATGGGACATGCAGATTGGGGGATGGAATGATGCCACATCGGGGTCAGGAGTTAGAGATGAGGGAAAGCATGGGGGCCGGGGAAGTATGAAGTGTGGGGTGTTCTAGCCAGGCAGGTCGCTTCTTCAGCCCAGAAGAAGAGAGAGAGTGGGGAGTGCTGGACTCTGGGGAGATCAGGATGGGTATGGTTCAACTGGATGTGTTAGGGGTCACTTTGGGTGTTGTTCCCTTGGGTAAGTGGGTGGTGCATGAGTGTATGTGGTGTGCGTGTAAGTGACTGAGTCCAAATACATCTAAGGAAGTGTCTTGAGGGTGTGGGTTGGGAGTGGAGAGTTCTACAGACCTGCGGAGCAGTGGCCACCTCTACTAGGAGTCTAAGATTTCCTGGGAACCTCATGGCAGCCTCCCCAGAGCACTTGCTCAGAGCCTTGCCTTATTTGTGCCTCAGTTTCCCCTCAGATGAAACCGATCTCTTCTGGGGGTGAAGGAGAGGGCTGCCAAGGTTGTGGACTTCTCTGGGCTAGTCACTCTGCTAAGTTTTATATGCATTTATGTCACTTAATTCTCACAACTCTGTAAGACCTGTAGCTTTTCTCTGTCCCATTTTGCAGATGAGCAAACTAAGGCTCAGAGAAGTTAAATAACTTTCCTAAAATCAATCAGATCTTAAGCAATGGAGCTGGGAGTAGTTTTCTCTATGACCAGGGCACTTCCCACTACACTGTTCTACCTCTGGGGCTCTCTGGATTTGAGTTCAGGGAGCAACCCCTGCCTACAACTCAGGCCAAAGGAAACAAAAAGACATGTCCAGACTACTTTTCCCCTTACTGAAAGGAGACACTGAACCCTCAACCTCCTGCTTGGCATTTCTTCCCTAAGTTCAAGAACTTCTGGCCTCAGAAGCTTAGGGCTGGTGGTGGAGCCAGCTCAGCCTTGAGTCTGTGTCCCAGCAAAAGTACCCCCACTGGGCATTGCTTGGGTTTTGTCCCAAAGTTATTGCAGGTTTGGAACTTCAGGCCAAGCAGCTGAGTAGGCAGCAACTCTTGGGCCATGTGGCGAGTCCGGGGTCACATGCACCTGGCGGGGCTGGGGTATTGAGGCCTCGGGTGCTGACCTGCTCTGGCTTTGGGCTGATCACTTCACCTTTCTGATCCCTAGAGTCAGGATGATGATAACCTATCTCCACCTCCTCTGCCCACCTGGAAAAGGGCTTTGTGTGCTGAGCACCTCTGGCTTGGTGGGGGCTGGTTGTGGAAGAGAAAGTCCAATTTACCAGGCCCTGGATGAGCCAGGCACATGTCTGCCTTTACACATATGAATTTATTTAACTTTCATCACACCTCCAAGAAGGGGGCTACTTCCATTTCACAGGTGAGGAAACAGGCACAGAGAGGTGAAGTGAAGTAACTATCTCTGGTGTCACACTGGTGTCACACTGGCAGAGGCCAGATTGGTACCCAGAGCAGGACCCTTAAGCAGTGCACTCCTTGCTTCTTTTTTTTTTTTTTTTTTTTTGAGACAGAGCCTCAAGCTGTCCCCCTGGGTAGAGTGCCATGGCATCACAGCTCACAGCAACCTCCAACTCCTGGGCTCAAGCGAGTCTCCTGCCTCTGCCTCCCAAGTAGCTGGGACTATAGGCGCCCGCCACAGCACCCGGTCATTTTTCTGGTTGCAGCCATCATTGTTGTTTGGCGGGCCCGGGCTGGGGATTCGAACCTGCCACCTTAGGTGTATGTGGCTGGCGCCTTAGCCAGTTGAGCTATAGGCGCTGAGCCACACTCCTTGCTTCTTGACCAAGGGTACAGTGAAAAGGAACAGAGGGGACCCTTTGCCTTCTCTTTGCCACTGCTCTCAGCACCTCACATCTGTCCAGTTTGGAAATAGGTCCAGCTTGAGGGCAAGAAAAGTATGGAAGCTTCTAGAAGTGCAGAAACCTATGGTCACAGGGAGCCTGCAGCTGAGGGGAGGGAGGCAGGAAGACAGACAGGGCCACAGTGTACGGTTGGGCTGGTTGTTCACTGTACTAGGGCACCTGGGCAAGGGGTGAATGAGCTAAATGAAACCTATGGGCTAACGCAACTGCATATGTTCTGAGAGAGCATCTTTTACTAACTCACACCAAGTTGCTGTGTTGGCTGTGCTGGCCCCTAGGGAGACCCAGACTTCTTGGGGATCAAGGAGAGGGCAGGATGTGGGGAAGTGAGCAGGGTTGGAGGTAAGAGGGTCCCAAGTCCCCAGAGACTGCTATTCATCTGAGCCAGCTGGGGGAGGGGAGCCCAGTCACAGGGCCCAGCTCTTTTTTTTTTTTTTTTTTTTTGAGACAGAGCCTCAAGCTATCCCCTTGGGTAGAGTGCTGTGGCATCAAAGCTCACAGCAACCTCCAACTCCTGGGCTCAAGCGAGTCTTCTGCCTCAGCCTCCTGAGCAGCTGGGACCACAGGCGCCCGGCCACCTTTTGGTGGCAGCCGTCATCGTTGTTTGGCGGGCCAGGGCTGGATTCAAACCCGCCACCTTAGGTGTATGTGGCTGGCGCCCCAGCCACTTGAGCCACAGAC